TTATTGCCCTTATTTACAACTTAGGCAACGAAAGCAATTTCTCAAGAAAACTAGCAAAACTTACAGAAACATTCCAAATTATTGCAATTCTAGCGGATTAAGCCTTCGGACACGTTCAAGAAAACGCTCAGGTTTGCTCAGCATTTTTATTCACAATTTATTATATTGACTGTTTTATTGTTAGGGTATAGAAAGCGTGCAAAATCGAGTCCCTTTTATAAAAGGCCTAAAGTTTAACCCTTCACTTGGCGGCATCTACAACTTGAGGTGTTAATAAAAGCAATTTTGACAGAATTTGTGTAAAAGTTTGTTAAAGTTTTGAACATCACAGAACATTGTTTTGTACCGGAAAAAATCAGGATTCTCAAACAGAAAAATAGTACTTTTTTAAAAATTCCCACTTAGATATCATTTGACAAGTCACTATGGAAGAACTTTAACTATTTTTGACCACAATTCTCTTTTCAAAAAAATTCTCACCTCTGCAGCGATATATGCAGGAATAACGCTAAGCAGCAGCTGCTCCTGCTGGCCTTTTTCGCATTCCAGCTTCACTCTGGATTCAATGCAGGTTCTGGTGCCCACAAAAGTCCTGCGGTGCGCCTCCTCCGTCAGGTGCCTATAATACACTCCAGTCAAGCTGCCAGTCACCAAAATCACCGTTTCTGGCACCAGCTGGAAACAGCAACAATAAGCCAAAGAAGTTCACTGGGCCAGTTTAAGCCTCACCTGAAGAAAATCGGCTGCTTCGTCTTCGTGAAGCCGATGTGCTATGGAGGTGGCCACATGAGCAACAGTCACTATAGTGGCCAAAGCCAAGGCTACCGATCTGGACAGTGGTAGCATGGTGTGGATGACCAGAAGAAGAGCGAAGAGAGGTAACGGAGCATGTCGTCCAGCTGCAATGAAACATTAAAAATCAGAGAAAATAGGAGTTCAATTGAAGAAAACATACCTAGAAGAAGCATGGCAGTGGCAGCGGAAGCCGTTATTACCAGAGAAGACATCAGGGCCCATGCTTCAGATTCCAAAACGACGGGAAACTGCGACGCCATGAGAATGGCTATGAGGGCGAAAGTGACCACTGACATCATGGTGATGGGCAAAATGCTTTTGTGCAGATCCTGCAAAATAAGTTTATTTAGAATGACATCGGTAACATAAGCAACTTAACTGTGCGATCTTAAACCGCTAGGAAACAGGGTGCAGGCGAAAATCCTGCCACAGATTCCTGGAGTGAAAACATGATGATTTCGCCTAATTTACCTAATCCAAAAGTGAAAGGTTTTCGAAATACAAGGCGTCAAAGTTATGAWAATAAGAGTMGAAAAATAATTGTTTGCAATATCTCATGGTACTTTATTCAGTCCAAATCAGCTAGAATCCAGTCAGGCCTCCAAAACAATCATGTAGGTAGAGTTTTTCCCGTATACTTGGGCATGGAAAACCCGTCATTATCCAACGACTTTCACTCCAGCTACTTACGTCCCCCTATTTTCCCGGTTTATTGGGGATCTAAGTCGGACTAAGCCCCTGTTTGGCGATGCTTTTCCCGAAGGAAACAAGCGAATTTATGGGCGAGTATTGTAAAGAGCAAAACCATGCAAAGCGCTGAACTGGATGCACTTCTGCAAATATTGACCCACATGTAGTATGCGGGCTGCAACTGTTGCTTGAACATGTCCAGTGGCTTTGTGATCAACACGAATTACAAAATTGAACACTCCGGGCCAATGAGAATCGGAAAATGCTTTATAATGGGATCCGACTATGCCCAGTGGTTTGCGTGTCGTATAATAGAAATGCTGAATCCACAAACGGCGAGGAATATTTGTTTGCTTTCTTAAGGTGCCTCGAGCATTTGCTATTTCTTTAACCATCCGAAATTCAGCTGAACCAATTATGGAAGTGAATGGAAACTCCCTTGATAAGTTCGCGCTCTTTGAAGCAAACAGGAAAAACAGCCTTTGGCAAAGAATATTCCAATGAATGTAATTTAGAGTCTACAAAATACCGAGAGCTTTATTCAGATAATGGAGCAGTTTTTGTTTCAGCCAAACAGGGTGGAGATAAATTTGCGGCGTTTTTCACAAGTGACTGGAACAGGGGATTTTTAATAGGTTTTATTTAGAGAAGCATGTAGACGCAGTGAGGTTTGTTTGGATATGTTTTACTTCTCCAGGCTCTAGCCTCTAAAGCCCATTTCTGATTTGCCAGGCAGCATTTCAGCCTGGCATTTTAGAATTTTGACCAGAAAATTGCACAACTTGGCTCTTTATTTTTGCGCAATTCTAATGCTCATTTTTTCAAGATTCTGGCTAGACCTTGTTACGTAAAGTTCCACAGAATAAACGCACTAAGCACTAAAAGCACTAAGCGTCGAGTGAATTAATCAAAATAAATTGTTGAAATTTCTAATGCCCATTTCCTAATAACCAGGCCAGAGTGTGCTTGTTATCTTATTCGGTCGAGCCCGTTTTGCTTTAGGCACCCTCTTAATTTCGTTTAGGATTTTTGGGCTTCCAGCAAGTTTAGCTCAAATTCGCTACTTGGTATTTTTGAAACTTGTTAGGCCTATTTCTCAAGAACCATCCATATCTCTACAAGCAAATAAGGATGTTTCATCACAAATACTTCAGCTTAAACAAGTTCTAAATTTGATTTGGTTTTCCCAAGTAGTTTGTTAGACTTTTCGATCTTTGGCCAAATTTCTCACTATTTGCTATTTTGTGTCTGTCTCGAAAATTTCCGAAACTCATTTCTCAGTAAGCAGGCCCAAGCTCTATGCATAAAAACACACAAGTTCTGTTACAAAACTTCCTTTATACATTGGCCAGGTCTGCCTTAATCTTCTGTTTTTTGATCAAATTTCTAAGATCATTTTTCTCGAACCAAGCCAGAGGCTCTTGTGCGAATTATTATATTTGCTTGAGCAGCCTTTGCTTAAACACATTGAAAATTCTCGTTTGAATCACTTGAGTCGTTTGCTCAATATTGCATTTCGAACATTAATGAAATTTCGTACAGTTTGTTGGCTTATGTCTTACAAAGTTCTGAGGCCAGATTCCTAAGCGCAAATTATGCCAGTTTATTATAAAAGCTTCACTTTGTATAGAGTAAGAATTTTATTTCGATCGATCCAATCGATTGCTCAAAATTAATTTTTGTTTTTGACCAGCTTTTCCTTACTTTTTGTGAAATATTTTATTTCAGGGAGGTTCATTGTAGATAAACCGTCGATTTTTAATCGGTCGTTCAGATCCTGTGTTTGGAAGTTTATTTTTTACAATTTTCTAAAGCTCGTTGATCTCAATCTAAGCCATGCTCCCGTACGTTCACGACTCTGAGTCGTCGCAAATGCTTTATTTTCTATACAATGAAAATTTAGTTTTCATATTTAAAGGGTTTTTCTCTTAATTAATGTTTAAAGTGACCAGATTATTCAGAATTTACTGCTTTTGGTCTGTGCAGACGTCTATAATCCATCGCGCTCAGTTACCAAACACTACAGGGTTTTCTGAATTTGAATGACTTTTTCTGGTTTCTCTGCAAACTTCCACTTTATACACAAAATTATTTTCATTTCTATCATTCGTGTGGTGAGTCGATCATAAAAATTTTAACTTTGACCAAATTTTGCTCATTTTGTTACTTTGGGTTTTACAAACTTCTACGGCCTATTTCTCAATAACAAGAACTGATTTTCAATGCTAAACAGGTCCAGTATAGAGGAAATGCTTATTTTAGAAACAATGTAAATTGTGTTTTAATCCTTCGACTGGTTTTCTACAAATAATTTTTAAACTTTCACCAGATTATTCACCATTTCTTGCTCTGTTACCAGAGACAACAAGGTTTTCTGAATTTTTCTGGCTTCTTTAAAACGATCCTCTTGATACACAAAGTTATTTTCATTTCGATTATTCAAGTGGTGAGTCGAAAATAAAAACTTGAACTTTGACCAAATTTTGCTTATTTTGTTACTTTGGGTTTTACAAACTTCTTCGGCCTATTTCTTAATAACTAGAACTGATTTTCAATGCTAAATAAATCCAGTCTATAGGAAATGCTTGTTTTCGAAACGATGTAAATAATTTATATCGTTCGACTGGTGAGTCGAAAATAAAACTTTGAACTTTGACCTGATTTTGCTCATTTTGTTACTTTAGAAACTTCTACGGCCCATTTATCAATCACTAGAACTGATCTTCAATGCTGAACAAATTCAGAGCAACGAAAATGCTTGTTTTTCCAAACTAATAAAATTCGTTTCAAATAAGTAAATTTCGTTTCAATCTTACAGCTGATTTACTTGCAAATAATTTTTGAACTTTGGCAATATTATTAAGAATCTACTACTTTGGTTTATGCAAAACTCCCAGGCATATTTCCCAGGAATCAGGCGTTAAATCGCTTTTTAGACATCTCGGGTTTCTTCAACAAACTTCACTTTATGTAGAGGGTTTTACATTTCGATCTTTCGAGTGGTGGACCGAAAATAAAATTTTGAGCTTTGCACAAATTTTATTAAATTCTTCACTTTGAGATTTACAAATGCCTACGGCCTATTTCTAAAAACCAGTTGGTTTCTTGATACGTAAACAAACTCACTACAGAGCGAATTTTTGTATTTCCAAACGGTGTTAAGTGGATTGCGCCTAATTTTTTTTTTCGTGAGAATGTACTACTTCTTGTTGTACAATCCTCTCAGGCAGGCGCATTGCTCAGTAACCAGGTCAAAGATCGGTCTGTGAATGTTTCTATTTCTTCAAAAACTATATAAACGCTATATGAACCGCGTATATTTTGTTCGGATTCCACAACCAGTTTCTTTAAAATAAAATTTCGAACTTTTTGAACGGATTTCGTTGGTTCGCGTCTTACAGACCTCAGAATTAAAATGCTGCTGCTTATAGATAAAAAATTCGCTTTATATAATTGATAAATATTACTTTGTACAGGTTTCAAGGGTGCATTTGCCAATTTCCACGCCAGATATTGATGTTTGAATATTTATGGCTTCTTATACAAGCCTTGTTTTATTCTCACCATGTATATCTTAATGTTATCGCAAGTTTTGTGCCCCCAGAATAAATTTTTGGACTTTGACCAGAGTTTACAATTTTTTTTCATTTGTATCTGACGAATTTCCAACTATCATTCATTAAAAGTTAAAATATGTTTTCATGAGCTCACTAATATTGAATACTACACTGAATAAAAAGGCCTCATTTCTCCATAAACAATTTGAACCGGGAAGGTGTAACTAACCCGAACAAAACGCTCGAGTCTACACATGTAAGTTTAATTTCGGTAGTTCAAGTAAATTTCCCAAAATTAATCCAAGAACTTTGACCAGAATTTGCCTAATTTGATTCTTGGGGTTTGTTAAATTTCTGAGGCTTGTTTCTCAATAATGAGGCAAATTCTCGGTGAAGGTTGCTTCCAGCGTATGGACTTGATGCAAACCGTAAAATCAATTTTGATAGGCCTGGGGATTTGCGCAAAATCAATTGGAAAACCTTGACCAGAATTTACACAATTTGATGCTGTGTGTTTTGCACGATTCTAAGGCTTATTTCTCAACAATCAAGCAAATTGATTAGCTCCAGTGGTTTCCTCATAATCAATATCTGGACTTGAACCCAAATGTGGGTTTTACTTTGATAGTTCAAATGCTTTTCTCAAAAATTCATTGTGGAACATAGTCCATAATCTGCACAATTTGACACTTTGTGCCGTGCAATCTTCTAAGGCTGATTTCTCAACAACTAGTTGTAAACCAACTATGGTTTGCCCATAGCCAATATTTAGGCTTGAAACTGATTTTGAACTTAGTTCTTCCTAGTTCCACACGTCCAGACTTCAATGTAACAGTTTCCCATATTTTGCCTGGCGCATAAACCCGAAACATTTTGCCCGGTTTCCTCGCCTCAAGCTTGATACTCGGACCTTTAGCAACATTAAACACAATAACATATAATATTGGCTCGCTTTATTGCCATTACGCCGGCACACAAAGCCTGTAAAATCCCGACAATAAAAGATCCATTCAAACCCATCAAGCTTCGTGTGTGAATTAGAGGCCAGAATAAATACGTCTGGATCGACAGGATCCTCCAGTGTGTGAGCACGATGCACTCAAATAATTATGAAAATTCCATTAGACATCCCAGGTAAAACCCTTGAGCGGCAAATTGTCCATTAAAATGTTGTTTTTATGCCAGACAGTCCCTCGAGGGTGTTATGGGGAATTACTTGGCACGTTTAATAGCAAAGTAGTTTGTTACAATTATATGCAGCTGCCTTAAAACATTAATTCCAGTTAGATCAGCAAAGAGCTTTAGATGGGGATTCAGCTGGATTGTCTAGGCGAGATTTTACATGCTCTTTGGCGCTATTTGGTGTGTTCCAGGCCGGGACTTCATGGCTTAGTTTTCCGAAGGATTGATATGTATTTGCAGTGCGAAATAAATTCTCGGAAAATCATTCAGTACAATAATGTGGTTTTGAATAAAACATGTCAAGCACCTTAGCACTATGAGAATGGGGCGATTCAGTTGGAAATTCGCTTTGAAATACCTGGCGCGGACCTTCTAAGCCATGCGGGAGATCTGGATAATCATCTCAAGGAATATAATGGAAACTTCGCAGAGAATTTGGCCATTCCAGTAGAATTTTATCGAGTATTGTGTTGTATGGATTTATATTCAATTTTCCTGCTGATCAACAAGGGGATTTGATAAATAGTCGCAAAAATCGAGATACTATTTCCGGCCGTATTCTTATCCCAATGCAGCATCCAAATTGAATCGAATTTCGGTTATAATTAGATTGGACGTCACGTTATCTGGATGAAGGTAATGAACCGTTAATTCCCAAATTCCATCCTGGCGATAACTTAAAATTCGCCCAGAATTAGAATCGTTAGCTATTCGGAATATTTTAAATATAATCTAAAAACTTGAGGGCGATTTTCAAGGCTTAAAAATTGCAATTTCCAAGCGGCCCAACCAACGGGCAGGAAAAAACAGATTGTTTTTCACACGACAATTGACCCTGGGATGCGCAGCAAATGAATGTTTTATTGTCGAATCACATTGAATGCTCATCGTGCCAAATAGCTGGGATATTTTCGAAACGCCCCCCATCCATTCTCAAATAACTCTATCGTTTCAAATAAATTGGACTTATTTGCGTCACCATTCCCACTGGGGGCAGCAATTTCATTTTTTCTTTACTCCCCACACCAGCCGGTGAAATTAGGCGCCTTAGTGGATGTCCATGACTTTATCGATGCGTCTGGATAGTACAACCGAAACCAATTTTCCGACTAATCTAGTCAGGTCGGCGACCGAATTGCCAATAATGTCGTGCACAAGGTCTCAATGGATAAATAAATAAAAAGCAACCTGCAGGCCATGGAAACAAGCTCACCTGCACGTGGAGAACGCAAGTGGTGATTAGTATTCCAATGGAAACTATCGTGGATACTGTTAGTCCTGAGAGGAAGAGGGCGTGCTTCAGACGGATACAGTATCTTTGGTAGAGAGTCTCCAGTTCCATGCCGTCCACTGGAAAGAAATTGATTTTGTCAACTTAGAAGTTTGAAGGAAAGTTTCAGAGTAATTTCCAAACCAAATTCAGTATGTCAAGGACTTCAGCTCTTCAGCCAGCAGGAGGTTTTGGAACATCAAAAATAAATTTATCTTTCGGTTTTTCGGTCAAGGTTTAAACACCAAGACCAAACCAATGAAATGGCACCTTTCGTCTTTTAAACAAGATCGAATTTTCGACGTCACGCCCACCTGCATCAGCTGCAGTTACCGTGCAAAAAATGTCAAAGACTCACATTTCCAGTAACGTAAAAACAGTGTTTAATCACCCATGAGCCAATTTTCCAGCCTACCCATTGCGAATATTTTTCAATTGTTTACTTGGCTAATCTCAAAGTGTTCTTCGCAAGCCGCACGAAAAACGGAAGTTCAATACCGGCGCAATTGTTTATTGTTGTTTATACATTTCAATCAATTTCCACACACGAATCTAAACATATGAGTAGCGGTTTATTTACTGGAGAAGTTTATGAATAACTCGGATTCAGTCGAGTGTTCCAGATTTTCCATAATCAAAGCGGCAATTTGACGATTTACTGTATCGAAGTTTTTCTTAGTGGCTTATCTGCCTGTTGAAACGAGATGCATTGAGCCCAAACCGCAAATAACACTGTGTTGAGTAGCGCTTTTGAGTTGAAGGCGCTATGTGAATTGATGAGTTTTAAATCCGCGGGCCTTACTGCGCCGCACCTCTAATGGCGCCTGTGGCGGAATAATTCTTGAATTCACAACTTTTAATAGACATTTTTTTTTAAGTTGAAATTTCGTCGGCTTCGATCATCGCTCGAAATTGAGCAACAGTTTCATTTTTAAGTGATTAATTTGCGATTTTTTTGTTTAGTCAACATTTTTAGAAAAAACTAATTCGGTTATTAATATTGGTTTTTGCGTTCTGCATTAATCACTGCAGCTGAGTGAAATTCAGACAAATATAAATGGCTTTACATCTAATATTAAATTAGTGAAAGATCGGCGCATGGGGTTTGGAGCGTTTTTTCTTTAGTCGGGACGTAAAATTTGTATTTGAAAATATTGTAGTGCGAACAGGCGCTTTCTACAAACATTTTAACAATAAACAAACTGAAATCAAACTGTAAAGCAAGAGCAGAGCAATGAATCATCGAAAGGGCGCACCCGCAAATTATTAAATAATAATCATGTTTATTCTGTAGTTCGATGTTTTTTTTTCTCGAAAAGGTGCATGAATGTTCAGTTTGCTACCAACAGTGGACAAAATCCCTCTGGTTGAATTATTGTGGCCCTTATGCCAAGTGCGGTGGTTTGTGAAGGTATAGTGAAGTTCTTAAGGGTTAAGGGGTAGAAAATGGAGGATAGGGCGCCAGCTTACCAAAAGCTGGTAAGAATGATCTCCAATATTTAAACCTTTAAGCTTAATCTTAGTTGCCGACAAGCAACTGAACCCATCTGAAGCTACTGAATTCATCAACTGACTCTGTACTCTCAACTGTAGGGTGGATTTGGTTTCAATTGGTTCTTTCGTAGTAAATTTTTTAACGTTGGAAATATTTTGGGCTGCTTTGTATTTTTACATCAAGCTCATCTGAAGCTTGTCTCCAAAGAACCGTTTCAGATAAGCAAATATGGGTTCCAGCTTTATGTTTTTTTTTGTAAAAATAACGAGAGTTATAGCTATTGACTAAAAGTTGGAATTTTTTAATGAAGAGTATGCAGTTGCGTGCGTGCAAGAGTTCATTTTTAAATCAACATTTACGAAGCGCGCAAAATTGAGGATTACATACGATTTGAATGAACTTTTCAAGGTTTGAAGAAATTTTTACGACATTTAGCGCGTACTCTTGTTTCCTGAACGCACAACTCTGGAACTTGTAGAGTATTTATCGTTTCTGAGAAATTTATTTTTGAAAAACGCGATGCAAAATGAGTTTCCGCAACAGTTTCTTCAAATCCTAAGCAAAATGATCTTCACGATGAGTAAAGTTCGAAATTTTCACGGCATTTAGAGTGCACTCGTCTTTATTGAACGCACTACTCTGAACTTGTAGAGTATATTTTGTTACTGAAAAATATGATTTCGAAAAACGATGCAAAATGAGTTTCCGCAGCAGTTTCTTCAAATCCCAAGAACAATGTTCTTAACGATGAGTAAAGTTCGAAATTTTCAAGGGATTTAAAGTGCACTCTTCTTTACTGATCGCACAACTCTGAACTTGTAGAGTATTTGTCATCGCGTCTCACTGTGTCGCACTTTTAATTGCGCTTAGCATTTAACCTAGGGGCTTCATTGAATCTTTTTAGCTCATTGTTTGGGCCATTCAAGCTTAAAAATTAAACCCTAATTTGCGATGCAAAATGATCATTAGCAATGCAATTTTAATGAAAATCCTTCCTGAAGATTTACGTTAAGAGGACCCCAGGACCATGCCAGAATTTTGTTGTTTTTGAAGCTAATTTGTGCAAACTGTAAAAAGTTTGTGTCGGTATTGATGGATTTTCTCGGTTCCATTTGTCATGTATTCTATAATTCCTTCTTTTCTTTATGTATTGTATTCCGTGTAACATCAAAAATAATTTGAGAAAACCCTTTCAAAATTAAACGAAACAAAAGCTAGATTAAACGAAAATTAATAAAATCTCTACAAAGAGATGAAATGATAAAAGCAAACAATAAAACTCTACTTTCTTGGGCCAACTTTTTGCTTCTATTTAAGCCATTTTTAGGGCTCAGTGAAGTTACTTTACTACTTACTTTCCCAATGTTTTCAAAGTCTTGTCGAAACGTTGGCCCAAGAAAATAGTGTTTTAGTGCTTGCCACTATCCATAGACTGAGAAACCCAAAAATTAAAATAGTCGTCATTTACCAATAAGAGTTGAAAGTAAAAAAATGACAATTTGCAAAGAAAATGGAAACTGGGAGCGATTTTTTACAAATTTGTAGTAAATTAGCATTGTCAAACAATTTATCAATTTACTCTTTTAAATCCGAAAATCTGCTATCGAAACGGCTAGGGAACTTTTCTTAATTACTTTGTTTCCGAATTGGAATTTTTTCCTTACAGCTTGAGCCCAAGCACTTCGGAGAATACCYTCTAAGTGTCTCTTAAGTATCTCTTAAGTGTCTTTTGATAAATAATTCGMTCTTTACTGTAAAATCAAAGCACTCTTTATCAATCTGTAATGAAAGACGTGAGTAAATTCACTTGTTAAAAGAGAAAWAGTTGACGCKGAATACCCCCAAAAAAAGGTTTTTAAAACAACTTAATTGATGTGCTTGTTCTTCTAGTTTTATTTCCTCAAARTTTTCTGCTTSGCTTGAACTGTTGTCACTAAATAAAAGAAAAAATAKTCTCACAAAACGTCCATTTCCATGMTAGAACTTTTTAYGATTTTTACGTTTTATTTTATTAGATTTCCTCAAAATTTTCTGCTGCGCTTGAACTGTTGTCACTAAATAAAAGAAAAAATAGTCTCACAAAACGTCCATTTCCATGCTACAACTTTTTACGATTTTTACGTTTTATTTTATTAGATTTCCCATTGGGGTTTTTGTRCTTTATCTGYCAACTTCMACTTTCAATTAGTCCCAMGAATGCAACCAGATTCACATTTTTGGCTTTGGAGAATTAAAAYGTTTGAACGCCTGARACTTCTATAAWTTTGATCGAATAATTGCGAGCAAGTCAAGAAGATCATCAAGTGTTTCATGCAAATCGKCATCTTTTTTCCTTTCMMTGTCTGTCCAGTATCCGGTTTTCGTTTAGCTASCTTTTGTTACTCCATTTTYAAASAATATTTGCAATTTAACTTGCAGTGTTGTTAACCTCTTATAGAAATGAATACATAATTGAGTAATTTGGACGAACATTTAACGCAAGTTAAAAAACAGTAAACCAAGAATTTGTATTCAAAAAGACAATTTGCTTCCCACAATTTGATTCGYCACTATCGTGACTACGTGGAGAAACYAACACTTTCTCAAATAGCAATTAGTAAACTGGTTCACTGTTTATTATTAATGGCATACGAAAAAGTAAATCAGTAACACTTWAATGGTWATKAGAGACTCGCGGGAACCAACTAAGTGTTAAATCTTAAACGTTAAAAAACCTTTCAACTTGTTTAAGCTCATTTCCCCACAAGGTAAAAGGGGAGATCTGGTTCAACACGATAAGTAGTTCCCCATTAAAAAATGATCAAATTATGTAAACATTTATATTCAATTAGTTGCAAACAGTGTATTTTAGGTTAGTGGTGGTTCTATAATTAATAACGTTTGCGTCTTTGGGGCTTTTATGTCACCAGCACAAGGTTTCAAAAAATTGAATGACCTGAAATGAATCTGGATATACAACCGGATGATCAAAAAGTACTGGGACATTATTTGGCCCAAAACGAGACGATCTCGCGTTATCTTTTTGTTATAAAAAAATGCTGGCTATTCGACTGTCGGGCGGTCAAAGTAAAAAAATGGCTTTTTTTGATATATCAGGAGAATTAGACGAATGATTTTAAAAAAATCGCTGCAAATTCGTTTTTATGTAAAACTGATGTTTTGATAAAGCGACCGAGTTCATCAGCTTCGGGCAAGTGGTAAATTCTGGAGTATCTTGGTATATAAACACCAGAACTTTTTATTTGGTCGCTGGAATCAACTGTTTTTTTTTATGTTGCTGATACGTTTATGGGCACTTTTGTGCTACTTGTTAATCGTTCTTTCAAACCGTTTTCTTCCAAATTGCGTTCCTCCGCAATCAGACCAAACGAACTGAGCTTTGACAGAAAATATCGCACTGACAAAGGAACAAATCCACAGCTTTTTCAACAGTTTCAATAAAATCCATCTCAGGACTAATAAAAAAATCCCGATATCACAAAAAACTTAATTGAAGTTGCGTTATCATTCAAAGAAAACAAAAATATTTTCGGCTTCAACGCCCGAAATATTATTTGCGACCAAATGGCCGGTCATTAGTTGCTT